CATGTGAAGTTAGGATTAATAACATGCCCCTCTTCTTATCTAATACAATCAAAACACTTATTTGTAATAGCAGTGTTGGATTGCATACTTTTGTAGTCCAAGTCCAAGCCCCAAAAGATTATATATCTTTTGATGTTATTCATAAAATCTTTATTTAATCTACAAATGTATTATCGTCAGATCCGAAAGCTAGATTTGTAAGGAAAATTAAACTTGTTTTTTTTTTCTATTCTTTATAGATCAGGATTATGTATCTTTTGATATCATTCATAAAATCTTTATATAATCTATAAATGCATTATCGTTAGATTCGAAAGCTAGATCGGTAAAAAGAATTAAACTCGTCTTTTTTTTTAAAATTTTTTTATAGGACCATTATAAGTGATGGAATAGGGACTAAGAGAGATTAAAAATAGATTTATAATATCTAGACGAGAGCAGATGATCAATGATGATAATTAGGAGAGTCATTCTCATTAGATCATATTATAAGAAATCTTATCATGATTGAAGTTTTTTTTATTGATCGATAATCATAATTAAAATTCAATCAGATATATAATATATTTTATCTAATTAAATAAAATCACTTAATCGAAGTACTGGTCATGGTCATACTGGACTTCATTCTTTCCACCAAATTCCACTGATAATAATACCTCGAGATCAAAGTACTCGTGCATGAGCTCCATGCTCCCTCAGTGCCTTGGATACACGAATCTCACCTTTTGGAAGGTATTGGGATCCAGAAAATGTTTAATGGCCTGCAGAGGAGAACAGAGCAACCAGTGGTGAACCAGATATAAGCTTTTCTTGAGAATTCGATGAGATCAGACCTTCCAAAAGGTCTCAAGGATTCTCGGAGGGTTGTTCAGGGTGGCAATGCGATACACACGACTTAGTCCCGGAAGGGACTAGATCATATGGAGGTATGATCGGGAGCTACTGTGAGCTCCACTTCGGTGAATAACACGACGGCAAGAAGGGCTATGGATTCAAGGAGTGAAGGCCATGGTACCGCAGAGGCGGGTCTTCCGTGCGTGCATCGAATTTTGCATCGGATGAAAACCTTGGTCATCAGCATATGGGGGTTGGGTTCCACCAAGGGAAAAGTTCGAATGCAAGTACCAGTGAGTTCCATGGGAGGAACTTGATCATGCAGAGGTATGATCAAAGCAGCTGGAGAGTTGGACTGGTCCAGAGCTCATATTCGCTTAAGGGAGCCCGGCAAGTCAGAGGACAAGGCCAAGTAAACGAACGTTGCTACCAAGGAAGCTAAGGAGAACATAATCGGTGCAAACCCTACAATGTGATGGCAGGGGCCATGCATGGGAGTTGCAGTCTGTCTTTCCATCGACCAAACGGACTACTTGGAGAACACAGAGGTGTTGAAGCAGGGGGTCGAAAGGGGCGAGGAAGCGACGACGAGTCCAGAGGGACTTAGCTACCCAAAATCAAGCATAAGTTAGAATGGAGGTGGCCTTAGAGGAGTGCCACGGAGATATATCTACTGATCGTGAAGAAAAGGGATGCAGATGTGAGGCGACGGATAGTAGGGCCATGGGCATGGCAGGGCCATGGGCATGGCAGCGCCATGATACCGCAGAGGCGGGACTTCCGTGAAAGTCATTGATCCCTTGCTCTCATGGAGGGAGAGCGCTTGCTCGTGAAAGGGGCCGAGTAGGTGGAGAATGTTGAGGCAATCTCCAAGTACCGAGACAAGGCTGAAGGGCAGAGGCCGAAGAACTTCGTAAGACCGGTGTCAATGTGCTTCTCATCAAAGATAGCCGAAAGTGAAGGACTTCGGGTCATGCAAGAGTGCATAACCAAGGAACGAAGCAGGCAGTACGCGGTGTTGTACCTTTGCTACTCAGAGGAGTAAGTGGCAGGGTTGATGGAAAAGACGGTACAATCCCAGAGGCGACCAAACCTATAAGAGAATTACTCCAAGTCGGGGTGAAAAAAACATGATTGATTCTATTATGGAAATCATATATTTTATAATATGTTAGTGTTATATCGGTTAGAAAAAAAATTAACATGGTTGATACATCAACGTACTGTGATCAATTTCTCAGCACCTCGATGCCACGTGATTGACTCCTCAACACCTCAGCATCACATGACTGATCTTTTCCTTCAATACATCGACATCACGTGACTAACATCTCAATATCATGTGGTAACATCTTGATGTTCGATAGTCAACATTTTGCTGTGATGCCACATGGTAACATTTTGTTGTCCGATGGTCGACACCTCAATGACACCTGGTTAACACGTTAATAATACTTAATGATTTCGTCCTACCCTACTAATTGTTCATAGCCACCGTTTGATCTATATCATATGTCAAAGCGTTACATCATCCTAGACTTAGCATGGATCTTCGATAATTATGCTCGAGATCAATTCATCACGGTCCCACGAGCTACATGTTATCTAAAGATAAAGACTTAGGAAACCCACTATAAAAAAAATTTTAAGATATATTCTAACATTATCGAAAGTTCCTCGACATAGTTTTATAGGGTTTAGATCAAATTGATGAAGTTTGGCTTGAGACTAACGATCCAAATTAGCTTTCACCTTGCACAAACAAAATCTAAACTTAACAATATCAAATCTCTTAAAATACGAGCATAAGACCATCGAATTGATTCGTTGACATCGATCACGATCAAGATACGAAGAGAGGAAAAGAGCCGATATACCTGGTCCAAGCCTCTGAAGAATGGAAAGAGAAGAACACTATAACATGAAAGGTATACAGAGAGGGAAGCAGACTTCGTTGTGGGATCTGAGAAAGGGAAAATTGAGTTCTTTGACGTGGAACGTCGACTTCTGCATGCCATCCTTGACGGCTTCTCTCGCCTACCTTCTTAGAAGAAGAAAGAGTCAAATAGAAGCTATAACTCCCACCCGTTCTAGTCAAAACAGAGTCAAATATCTTCACTTTTTTCCTTGCATTGAGAGCAAGCTAAAAGGATACGGATGTGACTGTTGCTTGCTTTTCTTGTGGCATTAAACGATGACTCTGATTCGTCTCTTCGTATGTAGAAGCACGCTCTCATGTTTTGCTTTGTTTACATGCCGAACTCCATAGCATTATAATCCACTGATACGTTATCATGCGATGAAGCTCATCATTTGCCGTATTCACTAGCATAGACAGACGATTATGATACCAGGATCTCGGAATTGTGGGTTCAAATCCCTTTTTAGCACTTGTATTTTCTTAAGTGACACTAGTTTAACCTCAAGAATAAAACATCTAAATTGATAATTATTATGAAAAAATATCGTTAACATCTTGGTTAGTCGGACATAGTTCAAACCCATATACGTAGGACTGTCTATCTCCGAAAGTATTATGCTCCCGAAGTAGAAGTATTATATTCTCGAGGTAGAAGTATTGTGCTCCCAAAGTACTATCTGCATAAAAACCATGGTCAGGGGAGGTTTCCCGATCCGGTCCCTCCAACGCTAAGTGAGTAATCCAAGATTTTTGAATGTGGTTTCCAATAGTTTAAGAAATGAGAGCCTTGTCTTATTTCTATATTTAGAATGTATTTTTATATCTTGAATGAGGAAAAAAAGATTATGATGATCTTGTCATAAAGGAAGAGAAGGAGTTTAGGATTATCTTCCTTATTATAAAAGAAGAGAAGGGAGTTTAGGATTGTCTTCCTTGTCATAAAGAACGAGAAGGAAGTTTATGTTTCCCTAATTTGAATCTTTGGATATGTAAGTGGATGGAGGATGACTTAGATCTGGTGTGGCAATCATGTGCTAGTTAACAATAGGTTCCCTATCATTTGCCCCCCCCTTGGGACTCTTACAAGAGGGGTTTAAAGTGTGTCATTCGATTTTTTTGACATGGGTAGGGATTTCATCCTACAGGTCAGGTTTTCGGGTTCATGTATCTTGGGTATATTGGTCTTGTGTTCTTACTATAGCAAATGTCTTTTAGCATGGGTTGGAGTTCTGTACGTGAGTTAGGTTTTTCCAACTCAATTGCCTCGAGCACATTTGACTTTATGTCATCGTCATATCGAATTCATGATAGTTGAGTTTCTCGACTTGTATACATTAAGCACATTTGGTTTGTGTCTCCGTCGTAGAGGATTCACCTCAACACTAGTCAATTTTTTTTTGACTCACATGCCTCGAACGCATTTGGCCTATGCCTTCATGCGGTGCCGGGCAAGTTTCCTGACTCATACATCTCTAGCACATTTGGGTTATGGCTCCTTTGTTACGAATTTATCTCGATGCTAGTCGGGCTTCTTGACTCATATGTATTTGGTACATTTGGCCTATGTCTTCATCGTAGCGGATTTATTTCTACATCGATTGGGTTTCTCGACTCATACTCCTCGGGCACATTTGGCATATGTTTCCGTTGTAGCGGATTTTAAGTCTCCTCTCTGTTGTGACCAATTTCATATTTTCTCATTATAACGAGTCTTTAAATCTTCTCTCCACTATAGTAAATTTTAAGTCCCTTCTCCATCGTAACAGATTTCAGATCTTCTTGTCATTACAGGTTTCAAATCTTCTCTCTGTCATGGTGGATTTCAAGTCGCTTTTTCACTGTAGTGGATTTCTGATCTTCCCGCCATGGTAAGCTTCTAATCTTCTCTCCGTTACGACAAATTTCAAATCTCTTCTATCTCTTCTATTTAGTAGCGGATTTTTTATCTTCCCACTTTGTTGGGCTCATCGAAGCTTTAGAAAGCGAAATTTGCTTTATATTAGTCCTTGGGTGCTCGAAAAGAAGAATTTGTTGGACTCCACTCATTATGCTTAAGTTGTATGAAGTTTGACTTTGACCCAGAATCCATTCCCAATGACTTTAATATCATGCTGCCACGGTGTACGTCGAGGCCGCTATTGCGTTCTTGGAGGACGCAGAAAGAACGCGGAGATCAGTCAAATGGTGACGAGTCAACGGCAATCACGCGATAAGAAGAACGTTCAAACCATTCCTCACCACTCCATCTGACGCCGTATTGATTCTTTCCTTCTCTTGTTCTCCACCTCTATTCATTCATCAATTTGGCCTCTCTCTTCTTCGTCGTCTTCTTCTTGCGCTGCGGAGTCGCGCGGGGCAAATGGAGGAGCTCGAAAGCTTCAGGTTGTACAGGAGAGACCCGCACCTCGGCCGGTCGCACACCTGTCGCGTTCTGCTGGAGTCATCCGTCTCCTCCGAGTGCGCGCAGATGGCCAAGTACGAGAGGCTGTCGCAGTCCCTGCGGCCGCCGGGCGAGCCACCGCGGCAGCAGCGGAGAGTCGGGGTCTGGCGGCTCTTGACGGACTCCTTCGCCCGGAAGGTCAGGGAGCCGCCGAGGAGAGCAACGGCGGAGGATACGAAGAAGGCAGCAACCGTGGTGTGGTCGGCAGAGGGGAAGAGGAGGTGGTCGTCGTGGCTGCCGGACCCCGACAGGAGATGGCCTGTTCAGGGCTGGTAGAAGCATGAAGCATACCGGAACGAAGAAGAAGAAAGAAACAAAGAGTTTGGGTTGTCGATGTTGGAGGCTTTTGTTCTGAGCGATATTTCTTTCAAAATTGTTTAACACAATAATTAGATCAGTAAAGAAATGGAGGAATAGTCTGAACCCAACCGG